TTTTATTTTTGTTGGTCATGGGGCTTCAACTCTGTTCCTGCACTCTTCAGCTCAAGGGAAGGACTCTACCACTTGAGCCACAGTGCCACTTCCAATTTTCTAGTGGTTTATTGGAGATAAGTCTCACGGACTTTTCTGCCTGAGCTGGCTTTGAACTGTGATCCTCAGATCTCAGCCTCCTGAGTAGCTAGGATTACAGGCGTGAGCCACTGGCGCTCGGCTCTAGAAGATATTTTAAAGTTCACATGTATCTATTCATCTGGCTGTACTCATCTTTATATGATGATGGCCTCATTTCTCTGCTGCTCTCTAAAACTCATATTAGACAAAGCCTTCACTTGTACTCCTGGCCTTCAAATCCATGAAAAAACTCACAATACAGATAAACCCTGTGCATGTACATAATGTGAGAAAGCCTTCACTTGTTCCCATATTCTTCGAAGGCTTGAAAGAGCTCAAACTGGAGATAAATCCTGTAGTTGTAAGCAATGTGGGAAAGCCTTCACTTTGTTCTAGTTCAAGACCAGAGGGGAAAGAAACTCTATAAACGTAAGCAGCGTGGGAAAGCATTTACTCAATAAGGTATCCTTCAAATCCATGAAAGAACTCACACTGAAGAGAAGTGGTTGTGGGAAAGCACCCATTTCTCCACTCAGCTGCAAAGGCATGAAAGAACACATATAGGAGAGAAATCCTATTGATGTGAGCAAGTGAGAATGCCATCCTTCACTTGCTCCCTGGCCCACCAATCCTTGAAGAGAAACCATATGGATGTAAGCAATGTGGGAAAGCCTTTACTTGTTCCAGTGCCCTTCAAAGAATTGATAGAGGTCTTGAAGGACATGATAGAGGCATTGAAGGTGAGGTTTGGGTGGTAGAGCCCCAGCCAAGGAGCAAAAGAATCAAATGCCGAGTTTGGATTATGGTCTCCCCCCCCCCCCCCCGCCCGTCTCTTACACACACACACAAACCACAACACGCATGATTGTGTATGCACATGCATGCACAAATACATTATAGAACTCACCATGGAGAGAAACCCTATGAATGTACGCAATGTGGGCAAGCATTTACTCAATTCAATGCCCATTGAAGCCTTGAAAGAATTCACAGTGGAGAGAAATCCTATAGATGGATGTTAGCCCCATGTTTCCTGTCTGGGCTGGCTTTGAACCTTGAGTTTCAAATATCAGGCTCCTGAGTAGCTAGGATTACAGGTGTGAGCCACCAGTCCCCAGCAAGAAAACTTTTTAACCTTTTAATACAACACCAAAAGACAAACTAATCTATATCTCTAAAGTACTTGGCTGGGAGGCTTAATAATAAAGAAGGGCAAAAAAAGAAAGAGCAGAGACTTAGCATATAATCCAACAATCTTCAAAGGAAATGGTATCAGTATGTGTAAGACATGTACGCTTTCATGATCATTACAGCACTGTTCACAATAGTGAATACAATAGTGAATAGTGTCCATCAACTCATAAATGGATGAAGAAAACATATATACATGACCAAGTGCTATCCAGCCATGAAATCCAAAGGAAATTCTGTCATTCAACAATACAGGTGAAAGTGGAAGATCTATTAGGTGAAATAAGGCAGTCATCATCTTCCATCTACCTTCTGGCCCTTACACCACCACTAATAATTTTTTTTTTCCCTTGTGAATTGTACTGTTAATATTTTATACAAATGGAATCATACAATATGTAGCCTTTTTCAACTATTTGCACGTATGTTTTCAAGATTCATCAAAGTTCCAGCATGTATGAGTATTTCATTCCTTTTTTATAGCTAAATAACATCTCATTAACTGGGTATACCACTTTTTTTTTTTGGTCAGTCATGGGGCTGAACTCTGGGCCTGGGTGCTGACTCTGAGCTCTTCAGCTCAAAGCTAGCACTCTACCACTCTACCACAGCACCACTTCTGGTTTTCTGGTGATTTATTGGAGATAAGTCTCACAGACCTTCCTGTCCAGGCTGATTTTGAACCACAATCCTCAGATCTCAGCTTCCTGAGTAGCTAGGATTACCAGCACATGGCAGCACATTCATCTACTGACAGAAACTTCGGTCACCTCCATCTTTTGGTTATTAGAAATAATCCTTTTACATTTTTTTCCCCCTGGTTGTAGGGCTTTAACTCTGGGCCTGGACACTGTCCCTCAGCTCTTCGGCTCAAGGGGAGTGCTCTACCACTTGAGCCACAGTGCCACTCCCAGTTTTCTGGTGGTTTTATTGGATAAGAGTTTCGCAGGGACTGGGAAGGTGGCTCAGTGGTAGAGTGCTCACCTTGCATACATGAGGCCCTCAGTTTGATTCCTCAGCACCACATAAGCAGAAAAAGTCAGAAGTGGCGATGTGGCTCAAGTGGTAGAGCGCTAGCCTTGAGCTGAAGAGCTGAGGGACAGTGCCCATGACCGGCAAAAAAAAAAAAAAGTTTCGGACTGGGAAGGTGGCTCAGTGGTAGAGCGCTTGCCTTGCATGCCTGAGGCTCTGGGTTTGATTCCTCAGCACCACATAAGCAAAAAGAAAAAAAGCTGGAAGTGGCACTGTGGCTCAAGTGGTAGAGCGCTAGCCTTAAGTTGAAGAGCTGAGGGACAGCGGCCAGGCCCAGAGTTCAGGCCCCACGACCGGACCCCCCCCCCCCAAAAAAAAAGTTTCTTGGATTTTTCTACCTGGGCTGACTTTGAACTTGGATCCTCAGATTTCAACCTCCTCAGTAGCTAGGAATTACAAGCGTGAGCCACCAGTGCCCGGATATGTTTTTACATCTTGAACTATTACTTTAGCTTTTTCCAACTATTTAACATGTAACAACCACTCACATATCACAGGACTTCCAAAACCAGGCAGTAGGACTTGGGTGTAGTTCAGTGGTAAGAGTACATGCTTAGCATGTGGGAGCCTTATGTACCATGCACGCGCGCGCGCACACACATACACACACACACACGCACACACGCACACACACACACACACACACACAGCATTATATATTTTGAGTATGTTACTCAGTGCATGTGCTGCTAGTAGGGTTTGAACTCAATCTCAAGCTCTCACTTGGCTTTTTCACTCATGGCTATCATTCTACTACATGTGCAATACCTCTAACCCAGTATTAAAAATATATATATATTTTATCTATGTAGTACTGAGGAATTGAACCTGGGGTCTCATGCATACTAGGCTAGTACTCTACCACTAAGCCACAATCCCAGCCAGTCCAGTGTTTTTTTTTTTCATTCATGGGGCTTGAACTCTGGGCCTGGGTGTTGTCCTTGGGCTCTTCAGCTCAAGGCAAGCACTTTCCCACTGGAGCCACAGCGTCACTTCTGGTTTTTTGGTGGTTAACTGGAGATAAAGAGTCTCATGAACTTTCCTGCCTGGGCTGGCTTTGAACCATGATCCTCAGGTCTCAGCCTACTGAGTAGCTAGGATTATAGGTGTGAGCCACTGGTACCTAGCTCAGTCCAGCATTTTTGAAAATAGAATCTAGTGGACTTTTCTGCCTGGGCTGGCTTTGAATCATGATCTTCAGATCTCAGTCTCCTGAGTAGCTAGGCTTTTAAGTATGATTCTTTACAGAAATATTTTTTATAAGAATGACCAAATTAGGGGCTGGGAAGATGGCTCAGTGGTAGAGCGCTTGCCTTGCATGCCTGAGGCCCTGGGTTCGATTCCTCAGCACCACATAAGCAAACAGAAAAAAGCCGGAAGTGGCGCTGTGGCTCAAGTGGTAGAGCGCTAGACTTGAGCTGAAGAGTTGAGGGACAGCGCCCAGGCCCAGAGTTCAGGCCCCACGACCGGACCCAAAAAAAAAAAAGAATGACCAGATTAGCAATAAGAACTTCAAGCTAAAATTATGGATCAAATTATATGAAAGAAAATGTAATCACAAAATATTATTGAAGCCGGATGCTGGTGGCTCATGCCTGTAATCCTAGCTACACGGGAGGCTGAGATTTGAGGATCAAAGTTTTTTTTGGGGGTCCAGTTGTGGGGCCTGAACTCTGAACCTGGGCACTGTCCCTCAGCTTTTCAGCTCAAGGCTAGCGCTCTACCACTTGAGCCACAGTGCCACTTCCGGCTTTTTTCTTTTTGCTTATGTGGTGCTGAGGAATCGAACCCAGGGCCTCATGCATGCAAGGCAAGCGCTCTACCACTGAGCCACCTTTCCAGCCCTGAGGATCAAGGTTAAAGGTTCAAAGCCAGCCCAGGCAGGAAAGTTCATGAGACTCTTTATCTCCAATTAACCAGAAGTAGCGTTGTGGCTCAAGTGGGAGAGTGCTTGCCTTGAGCTGAAGAGCTCAGGGACAGCACCCAGGCTAGGGTTCAAGCCCCATAACCGACCACTATAAATATTCTCATTTTTATATTTCCAGACTCAAAATGAACCAAGATAATTTCCTTTTTATCATCAAAATACCTGTTCTTTGTTTAATCAATAGTAAATAGCAAATTTACCAAATATACTTTTATTTTATGTATGACTATACTTCATTTCTTAAAAATTCTAATTGTATTATTTAGACTCATTAGAATACTTAATTTAAATATTCCAAGGAATTACTTTAGGTGAGGGCTGGGAATGTGGCTTAGTGGTAAAAATAGAAAAAGCTGGAAGTGGCATTGTGGCTCAAGTGGTAGAGTGCTAGCCTTGAGCAAAAGAAACTCGGGGACAGTGCCCAGGCCCTGAGTTCAAGCCCAAGGACAGGGAAAGAAAGAAAGAAAGAAAGAAAGAAAGAAAGAAAGAAAGAAAGAAAGAAAGAAAGAAAGAAAGAAAGAAAGAAAGAAAGAAAGAAAGAAAGAAAGAAAGAAAGAAAGAGAGAGAGAGAGAGAGAGAGAGAGGGAGAGAGGGAGGGAGGGAGGGAGGGAGGGAGGGAGGGAGGGAGGGAGGGAGGGAGAGAAAGAGAAAAAGAGAGAGAGAGAGAGAGAGAGAGAGAGAGAGAGAGGAAGGAAGGAACGAACGAACGAACGAAGGAAGACTTTAGGTGTATTAAGCAGAAGCTCCTCAAATGAAGAGTCTGATTTGGATTTATAAACAAAGATCATGTTAAAAAAAAAACACAACACAGTTCAAACCACCTGTTCTATTAAGTTTCCCAGCTATTTACTTCTAAAAAGTTCATATCAGATCAATTCCTTTAAACCCAACATTTAGTAACTCAACAGATGGGTTTTTTAAATGAGGCACACAATTTTACTTTCAATTCATTGATTTTTTTTCTTACTAAATAGATGCCTTAAAAATATTTTCATATATATAACACATTCTCAACACTTCTCCAGGATTGCTTGCTAGCTGATTTTGTTGTTCATTCATACACAGCTTTGCATACATCTACCAAAGGTAGTAGACCAAAGCTACAACACAGTACTTGGCACTCTCACATCACTGCTGCATCACTTTGTCTTTCTCTTATACGACTCATGACTGTGGACGCGCACTCGCTGATGCACAGAGGATGCTATTTTCATGCTGTCTTTCTTTGCGAAGGTCTTCTCTTCCTTGTTTCCAGTTCCAGGTTTCCAAAGTAACAATTGTGCATCTTCTCCTCCAGTCAGCAGAGAATCATCCTGCATGTTCCAACAGAAGGAACGAACGGTGGCAGTATGCCCTCCCTGAAGGCTGGTCACGTGGGTCAGTCCTGATGGGGCGCAATTCACTAAGTGAATCTTTCCTGTGTTTGTTCCTCCAATAACAAACAATTTGTCCATCTTTTCATGATACAGGCCACCAATCAAATAATCCAAATTACTTTCTTTCATGTTGAAGATTTCTCTGACATCTTGGATGCAAAGTCGTGTAATTGGTTCATCAGAGTCCAAGTTATTTAAGTCCCACCAACAAAATCCTTCATCATGTGTCATGCAGTAAACCTGTTTATAATCTTTGCCAGACCAACCGATACAGCTTACTGATGAAACTGAGTTACAGGTTGTGAGCAGAGCATCCTCTTCATTATCCACACTAATATCAAATACATTTACCAACCCATCAGTTGAGCCGGAGACAAGCATGTTGGGATTGCTGGGATGGAAACATACTTGAGTGATGTCATCACTGTGTGTCTCTGAATATGCACCCAGTGGTTCTCTACCAGTAGACAGATCCTGAGAATTCATTCTTGCATCCCAAAACACCAACAGTGCATCATCGTCAACTTTTTCTGTACCAGCACAAATGACATGATCCTTACAGTTGATATCAAAACTGATAAAAGTATTAGAAGGGTAACCCTTGAACAGCTGAATGGGTTTGTCACTGGCTAATCGAGCATCCCAACATTTTATGGTGCCATCAGTACTTGCTGAATATACATTGTCACAGGAATTTGCAAATTTGACTCCATTAAGAAGCCCTGGATGTCCACTAAATTTATGCAGTATGTTTAGGGTTTCCTTATCATATATTCTTATTGATTCATTAGAACATAAAACAGCAACTATGCTTCCTTTTTCTGCTCGTCCAGTGTTGGATGTGTCTATGCCCAGCAGGTAAGTGGGTTCTTTAGGTTCTGAGGAGCGTTTAACAATATGCAGATTAGCAAATTCTTCTTCAATCTTTTCCATATCAACAGGAGCATCCACAAGTAGAACTCTGTAATAAAAATAAAAAGTGAAAACCAAACTTGAAGGAAGGATGAATGAGAATGTTGAAAGGGATGACATGCATCAAAATACACTGTATTCATAAACTGCTTTGTTAAATTATAACTCTTTTGTACAACTACTTGAAGATAACTTTTTAAAAAAGAGAAAAAAAACATTAAACCTGAAACTTCTTTAAGTGTGAAATTCAGTCAAATACATTTTGGGGGCTGGGAATGTGGCTTAGTGGTAGAGTACTTGCCTAGCATGCATGAAGCTGTGAGTTCAATTCCTCAGTACCACATACACAGAAAAAGCTGGAAGTGGCACTGTGGCTCAAGTGGTAGAGTGCTAGCCTTGAGCACAGAGAGACTCAGGGGTAGGGCTGGTAAAAAAGGGAAAACAGTTGGTATAAAATACCTGAAATGAAATCTAGTTATTATTTTTTGTTGTTGTTGTTGATTATGGGGCTTGAACTCTAGGCCTGGGCTTTGTCCCTGAGATCTTTGGCTCAAAGCAAGCGCTCTATGACTTGAGCCACAGTGCCATTTCCAGTTTTCTGGAGGTTAATTGGATATAAGCGTGTCACATACTTTCCTGCCTGGACTGGCATTGAACTGCGAAATCTAGTATTTTAACCAGCTCTCTACCACATTGTAACTAAAACTGCTAACTGAATTGTTCCTTTCCTGAATTTACTATGTATATTTTATGCTAGTAAGACAATAAGAAAATGTGTATTGACCACTCAATAGTTCTTTTCAAGCTCAAATCTGATTATTGAGCCTATTCACGGTTCAGAGCATTGGCCGGGATGTGGAACGATCTCCAATTCCTGGCTATGACATTAGAATTTAACAGAGATGTGTCAAGGAAAAAATAAATTGTACACCAAAGATATTCATGCCTTAATTCCTGAGGCTTGACAATAGGTTAGGTTACATGGTACAGGGAATTGAGGTTGCAGGTGGAATTAAAGTTGCTAACCAATTTAAAGCTGGCCTTAAAATAGGAAGATTATCCTAGATTATCCAGGGAGGCCCAATGTAGTCTCCATTGTCTTTAGAAGTGGAAGAGGAAGGCGGAAGAGACATTAGTAGGAAAGGAAGGACAGAGAGAGATGGCATTGCTGGCTTTTAAGATGGAGGTGAAAAGCCAGGAGAGGTAGGAGGGCTCTAGAAATTGGGAAAGAAAAGGAAATCTTCAGGGCTGGGAATGTGGCTTAGCATGCATGAAGTGGCCCTGTGGCTCAAGTGGTAGAGTGCTAGTGAGCAAAAGCAGCTCAGGGACAGTGCCTAGGCCCTGAGTTAAAGCCCCAGAACTGGCAAAAAAAAAAAAAAAAAGAAATCTTCACTCCTGCCTCCAAGTAACTGTGCAGCCCACAGCCCTGCTGGCACCTTGACTTAAGCCCAGTGGCACCTACTTTGGATAGCTGACCTTCAGCAGTATAAGGATTTCATGTGTATTGTTTCAAGTTAGCTAGGGTCCAATCATCTGTTATAGCAGCAATAGGAACCTTTCTTTTTTAGGTCTGAGACTGGGACTTGAATATCTTCTGGTATTACCCCATCAGTCTGTAAGTCTAATATTGGGAAAAACTTAGTGGAAGAATTAGAGGACTTTCAAAGGAGGAGGCTGCAATGCTTGGTAAGAAATGTATGCATTATCCTGCCCATGTAATTGTAACCCCTCTGTACAGTATGTTCTCAAATAAAATTAAATTAAATTAAAAAAAAAAGAATTAGAGGACTTTAAAAGTAATGAACTTCCTTGAATTTAAGTATTCTGAAACTAAATGACCATTTTATCAGTTATGTTTATAGTTACCAGAATACCTGTTGGTTTTCCAACTAAACAGGCTAAAATGGTTTTGTTCCCCAGACAAGCCAACTTTCTGCCTTGGGATGTAGCAATAGTTATTTCTGTGCCTGGATTGTTTTTTTTCCTCACATTTTTTGCATGAGTAATTTCTCCTATTATTCAGGTCATAGCATGTGTCACTTCCCTACAGACTCTCCTTATCAGCCAAATTAAATTTTAAATGCTTAAATAAAAACTACTTCAGCTGGACATTGGTGGTTCATGCCTGTAATCTTAGCTACTCAGGAGGCTGAGATCTGATGATCACAGTTCAAAGCCAGCCTGGGCAGGAAAGTCCCTGAGATTCTTATCACCAATTAACCACCAGAAAACCGAAAGTGGCACTGTGGCTCAAAAGTGATAGATTTCAAGCTGGGAAGGTGGCTCAGTGGTAGAGTGCATGCCTCACATGCACGAGGCCCTGGGTTCGATTCCTTAGTACCACATAAGCAGAAAAGGCCCGAAGTGGCTCTGTGGTTCAAGTGGTAGAGAGCTAGCCTTGAGCTGAAGAGCTGAGGGACAGTGCCAAGGCCCAGAGTTCAGCCCCACAACCGACAAAAAAAAAAGTCGTAGATCTCTAGCCTTGCGCAAAAAATAAACACCCCCCCCCCAAAATACTTCAAACATACAAAGAAGTATAGCAGACACTAAAATATGGAATACCCAGATTTTAACATTTGCAATTTACTTGAAGTTTTTTGTTTGTTTGTTTGGTCATGGGTTTGAACTCAGAGCTTGGGCGCTGTCCCTAAGCTTTTTTGCTCAACGTTAGTGCTCTACCATTTTGAGCCACAGCACCACTTTCAGTTTTCAGATGGCTAACTGGAGATTATAGTCTCACAGACTTTCCTGCCTATCCTGGCTTTGAACCAAGATCCTCAGACCACAGCCTCCTGAATAGCTAGGATTATAGGCATGAGCTACTAAGGCCTAGCTTTTACTTGAGATTTTCTAGTTAAAAAAAAAAGCATAACAAAAACATTTTTATCATTAATAATTTATTAAAGTGACATCGCATTCATAGGTTTTAAATTTGCTCTCTTCATTCAATACCATGTTTTTTTCTTTTTCGTCAGTTCTGAGGCTTGAACACTGGGCCTGCGCACTGTCCCTGGACAACTTTTGCTCAAGGCTAGCTCTCTACCATGAGAGCCACAGCACTACTTGCAGCTTTTTTTGTGATTTAATTGGAGATAAGAGTCTCACAGACTTTCCTGCTTCGAACCACAATCCTCAGATCTCAGCCTCCTGAGTAGCTAGGATTACAAGCATGAGCTTCAACACAATACATATAGAGAGCTGTACACATTTATGCATGATCACAAAATAAACTATCACCAACATCAGAAAATGCAAACGATTAGTTCCCTAGAATCTGTCTAATGCCCTTCTCTAAAGCTTATGAACTCCATGAACATTAAAACTACTTCTCTCAGATCAGGTGGTAGGTATGTTTCTTTCTTTTTTGCTTAATATCAGCCTGTTCCCTCTTTCTTTTTCCCTCCTTCCTATCACAGCCCTTGAATTGCTTAGTTTACTTTCATCAACGTCCAGTGCAGCTGATGGCCACTCTGCTGTATCTTTTCACCTGCTTTCCACTGATTCTGTGTCCTTTTCCAGCTCCCTCAGATGCAACACTTTTTTTTTTTTTTTTAAAGTCACTCGTGGGCCCGAACTCTGGGCCTGGGCGCTGTTCCTCAGCTCTTCAACTCAAGGCTAGCGCTCTACCACTTGAGCCACAGCGCCACTTCCAGCTTTTTCTGCTTATGTGGTGCTGAGGAATCAAACCCAGGGCCTCATGCATGCAAGGTAAGTATTCTACCACTGAGCCACCTTCCCAGCCCACAACACAATTTTTGAAAAAAAAAAAGAAACAATTTTACTGAACTTACTACTTTGACTCTGTTTTGTCATTTTGAAAACGATCACTGGATAAATCAATGCACAATTGGTCCTGTTTTCGTGCCTTAAGAGTTTAAAAGTCCTAGGAGCAATAATAACAATACTGAACATATCTCTGTATTTGGCAGAAGACCTCAGCTCATGGAAATTAATAAAACAATGCATTCATAATTTTTTTTTGTCAGTCTTGGGACTTGAACTCTGGGCCTGGGCACTGTTCCTGAGCTCTTCAGCTCAAGGGTAGTGCTCTACCACTTGAGCCACATCACCACTTCCAACTTTTTCTATTGATGTGGTGCTCAAGAATCAAACCTAGGGCCTCATGCATACAAGGCAAGCACTCTACTACTGGGCCACCTTCCCAGCTTAGCATTCATAATTTTTAAAAATACTTTGAATAGAAAAGTGAAATCTTGAAATTTTATATTTGTGAAGAAAAATACTTACCCTTGTTCCACATTTATTCTAATATATCTTGAAATGTGCATTTAACTAAAGAACTGCTCATATATACTGCCAGAAAACAATACTTTTTAATTCCAGATTAAAACAAGAGCCTATTTTTCGAGTACTAAGAGTAGTTATAAAAGCCTTGATTCTTAGCCAGGCACCAGTGGCTCAGGCCTGTAATCCTAGCTACCCAGGAGTCTGAGATCTTAGGATAGAGGTTCAAAGCCAGCCTAGGCAGAAAAGCCCCTGTGAGACTCCTATCATCAATTAACCACTCAAAAATCAAAGTGGTGCTGTGACTCAAGTGGTAGAATACTAGTCTTGAGTACAAAGAGGCTCAGGGACAGTACTCAGGCCCTGAGTTCAAGTCCCACAATTGGCAAAAAAAAAACCTCAAAAACAAAAATGTCTTGATCTTTTACCACTAGTTAAGTGAACTCTGTATATGAGAGATCAGATTAATACAAACAAAAAACACATTGAACATGGCTTTCAGGATTCCACTGCCAGACAAGGCAGGACGGCTCTCCTTCCCCTACCTGGGTGGTCGGGGGTTTCTTTCACATTGGAATAGTCCCCTGTAAAGTTTTAGTTCAAGTGTTTCTGGGGACTGGAGAGTGAAGCAGGCAGAGTGGAGCCCACATGGCATGCTACAGCAAACTAACACGGTAACAACCAATGGCTGTCCAGAGTGCACTGATTAAATGCAGCATACCTTCCTATAGAAAACCACCAAGAGCAGTACACCGCAAAGGAAGGAAAATTCAAAAAATACAAACTTGGTATATTTCCACAGTG